TGATGCTTTTGAACTGTGGTGTTGGAGAAGACTCTTGAGAGTCCCTTGGACTGCAAGGAGATCCAACCAGTCCATCCTAGAGGAGATCAGTCCTGGGTGTTCATTGGAAGAAATGATGCTGAAACTGAAACTCCAGTACTTTGGCCACCTCATACGAAGAGTTGACTCATTGGAAAAGACCCTGATTCTGGGACGGATTGGGGGCAGGAGGAGAAGGGGAGGATAGAGAATGAGATGGTTGGATGGCATCACCGACTCGATGGACATGAGTTTGGGTAAACTTCAGCAGTTGGCGGTGGACAGGGAGGCCTGGCGTGCTGCGGTTCATGGGGTCACAAAGAGTCGGACAGGACTGAGCGACTGAACTGAACTGAACTGAACTGAATGTTAATGATAGTGTGTTTTTAATTTCAAATTCCAAAAAAAAAAAAAATTCAAATTCCACTATTTGTTGATGATATAATACAGCCCCTACTTTTTGAAGAATAAAGTCTAAAAACTTTAGTATCACATTATAGGTCCTCAATAAAGTGGATCCATATCAATTTACCTTTGTCTGGCAAAAGACCACTTCCAAAATTTAGTGGCTTATAAATAGCAACAATTTATCAGCTTATGATTCCAAGAACTGGCAATTTGGACTGAAATCAGCTGGGCTGTTCTCTCACTGATCTCACCTGGGCTTACTCACCTGGACAACAGACTGATAATTTGTCAGGAATCAAGTAATCTGTAATAGTCTCATTCCATATTTGACATTGACAGGTTTCAGCAAGTTGTCTTAGTCTTCTACCCCTCCTCTCCAGAAATCTAGCCCAGATTTGTTCACATGGTGATTCCAAAAATGTCAGACAAGTTGCAGGGATCTGGAGCCCTGGCTGCAGACGCATACAACATCACTTACCTGCCTTCTTTCGGTCAAAGCAAGTTACTTTAAATGCAAGTGATATGGAGATACACTCATCTTGGGAGCGTGTATTCCTCTTCATGGAAGAAACAAGGAATCCGTGACCATTTGTAATCTACTATAGAACAAATCCATTTTTTTCAGATTCACAGCTAGAAGCAAACCG